TCTTGTTCGTTTATGCGGTCCCCCATAACATCTATTGCGATGCATCCGTTCAAGGAATAGTATTTATTACCCGTCAAATCCGTTTGCGATATTACTTCTTCTTATTACAATTACTTCTTCTATGTCGATCCTTTCTTACATTTCCCTAAGCAGAGATAATTATTTGCTTACTATGACGACACTGTGAACACTACGATAGAATTGTCTTAGTTGTTTAAACTTCACTATTATAGTTAAGGCATTGATTATATGATTTTTCAAAATGCGAAAAATTAAGAAAGTTTAGTGAAAATTGCCAACAAAGTAGGCCTGTTTGTAATCTTCATTCGCTGATTAATTATGAATCAGACATAAAAAGGCTAGCGGCCCGGCAGCTAAGAAAAGTGTAACTAACTGATCCTTGGGGAACGAATTGTAACAACTTTGCAGCAAGAACAGTCCGAAGGGGAAATTTTCTTTCGACTTAGAGATAACTTCATGCAACTTGCGACAGTTCAACCTAGAGGTAACTTCTTATATGTACATACTTTTTTTATCAGCACTTGCTTTCTACACGACAATGTAATCCATGTAATGTTTTTATTTATAAGACGTTCATGTCGTAACACTTGCATAACTCTTTGCGAAGTGTCTTTTCTAAACGATTTATTGCGAGTATTCTGTCTTCGGATTGCCTCGCTGTTATAACAAATAAATGAAAAACAATTTGATTAAAATTATGATATTAAATATTCTTCATAGTCCTTTCTGAATCCTAAAGCAGGTAAGACAGTTAGTTATAAGCTTCTTAATAGAAACTTTCGCTGTTAGCCAATCAACAATCTTTGCTTTGAACTTTAAATTGAGTCAAGAGATAGAAAGGTCAGTTTATTATCGAATACCCTGCTAGCTGCTCAGTCCTAGCCAAGTTGAATTAAAATTTGAGAAAAACAAGTTAGAAAATCTGCTTAGAGTTGTTTAGTAGGTTTAAAAATGGCGATTTTAATGTCAATGGCAAAGGACGGCCTGGAGGACGAAATAAGCTCGAAAACAATGAATTACAAGACTTATTGCCCGAAAATCCAGTTCAAAATCTTAAAAAACTTTCGAATAGCTTGACGAATAATTGACGAAACAACCATTTCTAGACGTTTACATACCTTATGAAAAACCCGAAAAGTAAAAGGTCAGGAGAGCCGCCCACATCGACACCGAAGCAGAATATTCATGAGCATAAAGTTTTGCTGTAAGTTTGTGGTAGGATGGATCATCAAGGTGTAGTGTATTACGAGTTGCTAAAACCGAATGAAACTGTTACTGCAGATGTCTATCTGCGTCGTTTGAAGAAATTGAACCATGTGTTGTTGCAAAAACGACCATTAACAGACGGAAAGTCATACTCTTGCATGCCAACGCTCGGCCACGCGTTGCAAGAGCTGTCAAATGTACACTGTCGGGAAACGGGAAAGGGAATTTCCGCAGTTTCGAAATGCTGAAGAGATGTTGCAAAAATTTGTCGCTGTCAAAGCACTCTCTCGCTGTGTTGCCAAGAAGATGGTAAAACGTTGTAGAAAATGATGAGAAATATTATGATTTTTCTCAATAAATGCCTTTTTCAAATGAAAAAATGATCAAAATACATGCAAGCACCTAATATTATAAAAAAAAAAAAATTCGAAAAAATAAAGGAGGGATAGATATATTCAAGTATCCTTATTGGAGAAAAGTGAAATTGACAAATTTTCACTATACTTAACTTCGGCACAGGCGTAAACAATCCAGAATCCCTACAAATAATACTTGAACTTACAAGGGGAATCACGTTGACCATAATAATGAATAGATGATGAATGCGATGAACCTAATGTCCATAATTTATCTTTTGAAATTAATATAGTCCTAGTGGAAGTTCGTAGAGGCACATAATCATGGGACAGTTATTCGATATACATACATATTCTCATTCATAAATTAGCAAATTAGTGATAGTTCTTGTAAGACAATCAAAAGTCAAAGATGTTATAAAATATTTTATTAAATTTCTACTTCCTCTTCCATATTCATTTCAAATCAATTGCAATATACTTTTCATTTATACACGATACACCTATTGTCAGTTTGGCGGTATGGTTTCGTTTTCACAAATCGCTTTAACTTAATTGGTGGTCTTTATCTTTATCTTTCCTTTTCTTTTTTTTTTTTTTGTTTTTTTTTTGCGGCTCTTTATATCAATTCACCGCTGCAGTCAAGAATTGTAATTAATTACTAATTAAATGTCACTTTTAGTAAATTTATTCCATTAATTAACTTGACGTTTTAAATAAGAAAAGAGAAGGAGAAAAAACTTTATTTGGCTTAAGGCGAACTTTTCATACTTTACCCAACAATTACATGCAATTTTTTTTTTTACCCAGATTAGAACATAAGCGAGTTATTGCCAATAGGTGCATACGTACGTGACTTTTAGTCGACATGACATGCTAAGCTTCCAAATCTGAATACACTGCATATCAAATTTTTATCTAAATTTAACCATCCTTGGTAATATCGATATTTCTGACTTCAAGATAAATGATCGACCTCAAATCTTATATTTACTTATTTTCTGCTATGCAAATCTTGAATAAACTATATATGAAGCTACAAAGCCGAGCACTTGTAATATATGATATATTACGTTTCTATGGCTGCGTGTGATACCTAGAAGGGCTTAAGATAGGCTCACGTTTGCCTGTCCGTCTGCCCATATAGTTTTATATTGAATCTACAGATCGCAAATTTTTAAGATGTCTTGACGGATTTTCGTACACTAATGACTTTTTGACCATGGACGAACCCTATTGAAAAAGCAAATTCAATTTTGTAAATTTTTCGACAAAAGCCGATATTCGATATTTTAAAGTAATATCAGAAATTTACATTGGATATGGCACTTTCTTGAACCCCATACCCTACAACTTTCTTAACACAAAAAGGGGGAGCAATTTTTAATATAGCTTGGCAAAAATTGGTCAACAATAGCAAGACGACATAAAAGTTAATCCAATTTTGGACATGTACGCCTGCTTTTTGTACCTCCTCCCCCTGGCCTCCATCGTATAAGATTTGTGTGTTACGATGGAAGTTGATCTTCGATAAAAATTTGGCATACAAATTGGGCGTAGAACATTGGAACCCCGCAGGTTCATTTTTTGAAAGTATACTTCTATATATGCACCTATGCATCTGAATAAAGTATGGCACGAGGCGATATGTGGTATACGATATGTTTCCCAAATCATTCTAAGATGTTTTTACGTGTTGTTTTATTTTAGTTAGAGCTTTTCTTTTCGTTTTGGATGAAATATTACGCTCTATTTTCTCCTATCTGGCCCAGAGAAGCAAATTAACTATTACCGTCAAAACTAATGATTGTTAAAGTTTTTAATCCACATGTAACGTAGACTTTATTACACCCTACACCACTTGTGGTACAGGGTATATTAAGTTAGTGTGGTCGTATGTGACTCACAGGATGGCTAAAGTTCGACCCACCTATTAAAATGCCGATCGATTCAGAACCGTCATCTGAATTGATTGAAGCCTGTCTGTCCGTCTGTCCATATGATGTCTGTCCATGTAAATTTAGCTACAGATCGCAATTTCCACGAAATTTAGTATAGTGACCCAAGGACGAACGCTGCTGAAAATGGTACGAATCGGTCCACTTTTTCGACCATTCCCCATATAGAGCCCTATTCTAAGACGCCATATGGAAGAAAATTGTAATTTTCAAAATTTCTCGGCAAAAGTGACGAACTTTGGACCGGCTTCGGCAATTTTTGAACCCCCTCTCTTACAACGAAAAGTAAAATTCGTACGACGAATAAGTCTAATGATGAAAATTATATCATACTAGTAGTTTAACATAAAAAAATTAAATGCACTTAATTTGAACCATGGTTTGAAATTGAATAGCGGGGGGCGCTCGGCCTATTTTTCGAATCCTTCCCTAATAGGGATTTTCACGAAAATGGACCTTTTGGATCCCGATTTAGGCGCGCTTCCCCACAAATACGGACATGAAAAATATGCCTTTATATAGAAACAAGGTAAAATTATTGTTTTAGACAATGTGGTACAGCATATTGAATGGTCAACCTTGCCGGACTATAATGTTCTTACTTGTTCTTTTTATTTAATTTTATATTAGTTTGGGGAAAAAGAAATCCATTATTCTTATATGATTTTCAGGACTTTATTTAACATGCTTCGGATTGTCCGATTTGGGTCAAATATGCACCGTTTTGTTGTATGATTTGTTGCCATTTTAAAGGTAACTTCAAAATGCCTCTCTCATAGAAGTCCTGGTCTCTCTCTAGGAGTCGATTTTCACAATCCTCCCTAGATTCCAATTTTTTATCATTAATATCTAAGTTTGTTTAAATACGAATGTCCACTCTACACGTAAGATTTAATTTTCGTACCACATTCCTCTCTTGAATTAGGCTTAAGAAGAATTCTGACACAATTTTGAGGATAAGAATTCCCCAAAAATGTTTCAACATCGGTTACTTGGTAATTTTGGAATTTTGGAAATTCTAAATGTTTTTTATTCAATTGTCTTCTTTACGAAGTTCTATATGCATTGGAATTTTTGTCATAGATTTTCTTTTTAAGAATTTTTTTAGGAAGCAAACGACTTACGATTAATATCAGAAAAATTTAAAAGTAATTAAATCGAATAATCCAAATTAAAAAATAATTTTATCAAAATAATTTAAAAAATTCTTTGTTTAGATGTATTCTACATATCAGTATTTTTCTTAAACAATTTTCTCTTTTGGCTTTCGTGTCGTGTCGTACGAAACAAGAGAAAAATTGTCCAAACTTAAATAACACAAAGAATTTGCAAAAAAAAAAAAAAAATCCTTTAAAGAAATGAAAAATAATTTGAATTTTCTTCAAAGCTTATAGCAGAAGTTCACTTCAAAATAAAAACGAAAAGATCAAAGTGTTACGAAGTACTACTAACAAAAAAAATGTGCCCGCGCATCGATAGTATGGTTTCATTGACGCCAACATTAGTTTTATTAGGTTCTATGCTTTGGGTGAAAGAATCGAGAGCTGGGATACTTACGATGCTTGACGATGAAGTAGCTGCATTGGTAAGTGTCTCTCTTGTTAGATTTATAGATTCTATTACCCTACATACATATATATGGTAAATAATATGCGATTCTTAACTAAACGTGAATAAAACTGTTTATGGGAACTTTTCACCTAACGAGTAAGGACTATAGAGATTTATGAAAGACACTTGTTGTGGCCAGAGCTCGCTTGTTGCATTTGTACGTAAACTTGTTTTCATATTTAATTTAAATTAATTTAAATTAAAATATTTAAAAGAGGCTGATATTTTGTTTTACTTACGCTAAGCGACTTATTTGTTGTTAATTGGCGGCCTCTTCCTAGACTCGTTCATTTGGAATTGTGAGAACAGTCGTTTTTAAGCTACTCAAAAAAACAGTTTAATGTCCTATACGCTTAAAAATGCTGTTATTCTTTTTTTTTTTTTTGTTTGATTGATTGATAGAAAAACTATCAGGAAATTAATCTTGCAGATGAAGGAGTTCTCAACATTTCGCTCGTCGACTATTGTAAGGATGCAGGATGATAATAATATCATCATTAGGTTTCTTAAAATCATTCATCAGATTCATCAGAGATGACGTATTTTACAAATGTTTTTGTCATTTGTTTCTGATATCTAATATTTCGAAAAACTGAAGGATTAATCTCAAATTGGATTAAGTTCAAAAATCGAGAGATTTTTTGGCTAATTAACAGCCTATATTGAGTATATACATCCTTATCGGATTTCCTCATGAAATTTTATCAAAAATCTTGGAAATGAATTCCAATTGAATCCACATGTCTTCCCATTTCTTTTAGCGAATTAACAGTGTATGATGACTGTATACGTCCTTCGTCGAATTTGATCATGAAATTTTATCAAAACTCTTGGAAATGAATTCCAATTGAATTCACATGTCTTCTCATTTCTTTCAGCGAATTAACTGTGTATGACGATTATATAAGTCCTTATTGGATTTCCTCATAAAAGTTTATCATTATGAACATGTGTTTGCCATAATAATATATTTTAGAAAATATTTCTGTCATTATGTCATGTCATTTCATTAGAACCTAATTTCATATTACACATATACTGCGTGTAAGTCGTATAGATTGAATTAGATATTTTTGCGACCATCATTAACTGAAATAATAATAACTTGCTTGCGGAACATTTCCAACAATTTCAACATAACTGCTTTACTTATTCAATGTTATTTTACACGTTTTATTTTTTTTATTTTCAGTTCAAACTGATGAAAGCATACTCAACCTCCGAAAGTAAACTTCCAAGTACAATATTTGTGCCTCCTGAGGAGGAAGTAGCGATAGTGGACAAGTTTGCTCACTACTATCATACAAGTATGTTATGTTTAAATGACCAACGAGAGGCAGATATGATTTAGCTTAACGGTATTTAATTGTTTTTCAGCTAATTTTGACTATCGTCTTTTTAATCTCCCGCCTCAGATTACCTCAGTGCGAAAAGCTGGCCCTTTCCTTTATATTACAAAAGTTATGGATGATGATGAGGACGTGTTAAGAAAAGTATTCATTAATCAAGCTGAAATTAAGATGTCTTTGTCTAAATATATTAGAGATCCGAAGAAGGTACATACGGAAACGTATTATACTCTCAGGTCATTTAAAAAAAAAATACTTGATAGCAATAATAGATTAAAGTCCCCATTACTTAAAATTACTACGTATAACCTTGATTCCGTTTAGCGTGATTGAAGCGCACAATAATTCGCGAGGGGACAGAAAAAGCGCATTCACGGTTTTTTGGATAGCCTCTCTTCTCTCATCCGGTTTATATTAAATAATTTTTAAACATTTTAGGCAATTAACAGTCAGTCATGTGCGATAATGTGCTTCGATCAGACCCATCGGTATCGGATGCCGATTTTCAAAGATCTAAGGAATATCCATACCCCATACGACATGTCCGTAATTTTTTGAAAGTCTATGCAGACATGTACAACACATAGAAAGACTAGTTCTAGTGTCTAGATCTATAATGAGATGACAATAGAGTTAAATCTACTTTCTGATTCGATTTAAGCATGTCTGGTCGTCTAGTCACCTGCACTCTGCAGTCTTTCAAGATATTTAAAAAAAATTTGATTCAGTGACCAGTTTTCCTTCAACGATTTACGTTATTGCAAGTCGTTTCGTCTTTCATTTCATAACGAAGACTAAGATTAACTTGTCTCTTATGATGAAAATTGGTATAAAATAATGGTTTGACATCTACTAAACTTAATGCGATAACGTTAGAACGACTTTTATATGGCAAGAAAGAAACTATGATTGTTGACAAGATGGGGGAAAAATGGCATTAGATGAAGTGGTAAAAGGCATCTAGCAGTCAATCTTACCCGGCTGTTACAGTTTAAAACTGTCTTTAATTGATAAATCAGACAGACTGATAATCTAGAGAGACGAACAGGCAGACATGTTTACGTGCATTCCGAACTTGAAGCTGGCCGAGCCTTTGTACACTTTATACGATTTTTGAACCTTATTTCTGCGCGTTACAAAGGTATTATAAAAACAATTAATTTTTGATACACTATGATATTGGGTAGGCGTGGTGTATTTCTCCCATTTTTGTGCAAAAATGCTGCAGCATAAACGATACCATATGAGATCAAATTTTTGTATATTTATTTTCTATAATTTATGATTGGCCCATTTTCAACGCCGATCTGCGGGAAAAAACTTCCAATGTTTCTGTTGATAGCCTGATTTTTGCGGTTAGGAGAATGTTTACAATAGACATTGCACATGTGGACAGAGGGACAGAGGGACATGCTTAAATCAATTTACAATTTGATGCTGATGCTGAGATGTCTGATACATCCATCTGGGCGTTGCAAACGTCTTGACAAAATGAACACACTGCTCATTCTTTGTTAATGCGTATAAAAATGCAATTTAAAGAAGCAGTAGAATATATATGTGATATATGTATGAATGTGTGACATTTTGATCGGTTACCAAATATCACATACGGTCAGATTGATTAAATGCATGAAAGCGTTTCATTTTGCGCTATTGCTGTCATACTGTTTGCATACGATTTTTTAATCTCTTCATTTGCTATGACATATAAGTTCGATTAATGCAATGATTTAATAAACAATAAATCACTGTAAAAAGGAAAGAGAGAGAGAGAGAGAGAGAGAGAGAGAGAGAGAGAGAGAGAGAGAGAGAGATATTATCGAACTGATTGTTACAAATTTATTTTATTCTTATTAATTACACTTAAATTATGTTTAATTCAAGGCATACCATTTTATTAAACGGGTACTGGAACCATTACGGATTGGTGGGGGTGCAGGTGGAAACGATACGATTTTCGTAAAAGAAAAGAAAAGAAAACCAAATGCTTATGATTTAGTTTTGTACGATACAGAATTTGTACTTGATAATCATCGTCTGAAGCTCCCTAATGAAAGGTATTTTATATCATTTTTTTATTGCTGAAAATTGAATAAAGTTTCTAAATTGTTTCCTTTACAATTTTTTTTTTTTTTTTTAGTTATACTACCTATGCAAGAAATCCAAAAGAAAATCATTGGAAAGCCAAGTTAAAGAAAAGAGGGATTTTTACATTTTTTATCCCTACCTTTGCCGCAATGCAGGTAAAAATGGTATAAAAATTCGATGTAATAATTATGTAAGAATTTGTCTAAAGTATGTTTACAAATTTTTTTTTTTTTTTTTTTCGTTAACTAACTAACTATTCAACCTCCTGGATAAAGGAGATGTATATACTATTACGTTAAAAGAGATAACAATGTAAAATTCAGACTCAATGTAATTTCGTCGCTCTATCATTTATCTTTGCCTATGTATTTAAGAATGATTAAAATGATTGCGAAGCACACGGAGTGGAAATATTTTCCGCATATTTTAGGTTTTCATTTGACTCTCACTCACAAGTCCAAGAGAGCAATTTATCATATGCACTTAACCTATAAACCTATTAGCCTAAGCTATACTGAGAGAAGTAGTATCTGCTGAATCCATATACGTGAATAATTTGTCATTTTATCTTGCATTCGATATATCATTATTGTCATTATTAGTTATGCCATATCTTGAAAGCATCTTTTAATCATCTAAGGTAATCCCTTAGACGTATATATAGATACTACACCAATCACAAAGAAATGGGAGTGAGAGGGATAGTGTGTGACCGACAGACGGAGAGTTATATGACCAATCGATTATGCCTTTGCGCATATTCATTAAATGTTGAACGCACGACACAATCATTATTGAAGTGTGCTCTACCTTACGGAATACGCTAACCTGTTAATCGCGCTTTATATCTACTGCAATTACATAGTCTCTTTCTTTTTTCTTTTTATAGACTGCAGGCATTGGTTATATGACCGACAACATGGCGCGGATGCATGTATTTGAAAAGAGCATTTTGTTTCCACAAGCCACGGATGAACTTTATGAACTGGAGTGTAGACGGTCAAGAGAAGATGAAGAAGAACACGAAACACCTGATGAGGAAGAAGGAACTACAGAAGGAGGCGAAACTGCAGCAAAACCATTTAGCTACGATGAGGAGCTCAAATGCTTGGTTGGTTTGGCGTACGAAAAGCAAAGCAAGCAAGGTAAAGTTTAAAGAGCTCTTAAGACACATTTATTAATTACTTTACACAAAATTTACTTATTTCTAGCTTACGTAAGATCTGTGATCTTGGAAAGGGGTAGTCAGTACGCAGAGCGCAGTGTAATCGTTGAATTTGCTAAGCCAAATATACCTGTAAAGAATGGTGTGGTACACCTCATTAAAAATGTTCTTTGTCATATTAATGAAAAGGTCGTAAGTGCTATAAGAGTAAGTGGGAATTTTCGTTTCACAATATCATATAAGTCAACATCAGAATATCGATCGATGATAAAACTGAAAAAACAAGAAAATTTCTTTTCAATGCCTTTACGGAATCGTCTTTAATTTGATAATCGGACTTTCTCGACTATTCATAGATGTCAGTAGTTTCTTGACTCTCTGCAAATGACTTAAGGTCATTTAATAAGTCACTACTACTAAGCAAATTACGTTTGTGTAGGTATTTATAACACTTAGAAGCACTTGAGAGCCATCTTGTGTTATACCGTTCGATTCAGAACCACTTTCTGAATAAATCTAACCTTTAGATTAGATCACTTTTTCGGGCACTTCCCATGCAACGACCTATGTTTAAAGTCCGTTATATCGGTAGCTATATTAAGCGAAATGGTGTAGAATATTTAACAAATATTTTCGCTTGTTTATTACGCTGATCGAACGATCGACCGATCATTTCCTGAATCGATTAAAGTAGCCTGTCCGTGCATCTAATGTCTGTCCATATATATTTGTATACGTATATATCGCACAACTTGCAGTAGGAAATGATTTTGCCAAAGTGAAAACTGGAGCCTATTTTGCGGGTCGTGGTAGATCGTTTTGTAAATAATTAAGAATGCTATAGTTGGGCAAGGCTGGCCATTACATATCCCCTACAGCACTTTGTCATTCAATCATTTTCTTAATAATACAAAAAAAACTTTTCTTATAAAGATGCATAATTTTCGAGTCCTCGTGTATTCGAGAACGCACAAACGTCTACATGATCTAAGTCTAGCAAACTTAATTTGTCAAAAATTTTATTATCTTCCATTTGCAGTATTCATCATGACAAGCCACAAATTAGACTTTGTCGTCATAGGAAGGTTTGAGTCATAAGAGCATCCGTACATGTTTCGATCTAAACAACAGATCTGTGTGATCCATATTACCATCAATTCATCATAACACATTAAAAATTAGACATTTATGTGGCTTAGGAAACTAATTTTATGTGCAATTATTGTTATAAATATGAGTTTTCATCAAGAATTATTAAAAATTAGTTCGTTTTACAATGTAACGATTCAGTTTGCATAGAACCGGTTTTCTGGCAACAGCTTTAAAAACTTCAAAACCCCTTTTGATCCAGAGAAAGCGATTTTTGCCACGAAATTCGAAATATTTCATTATTTTAAGAAAACTCTTATAAGAGGAGGGGTCGAAAAAAGTGGTCCGAACCGAACCATTTTCAATAGCGTTCGTCCTTTAGTCCAAAGGCGGCAATACATCAAATTTCATCACAAAATATCATGAAAATTGCAGCAGGTTGTGATCCCAAGAACACATGGACAAGCCTCAGACGGATAGACAAGACAACATCGATATAATAAAACTTCCCCTGGACAGTAGAAACGCAAAAACTTTACATCAAACTTGTGGTGTAAAAAGGCTTCAAAAGTGCAGAAGGAATAGATTTTTGGAGAAAACAACTTTTTTGTTACTCAGTCGCGGGAATTTCTAACTGATGTGTTATAGGCAATGTCCGAGCATTTGAAAAATTTCATTGCAAACATCCTTGTGATTCAATTCGTTCAAGAGTAATAATGAATAAAGGCATTTGGAGCTATCACCACGAAAACCATGCGCTTAACTCTCTATTTTAAATGTTATGATTTTAAACGCTATTAACTTCAATATTTTGAATTTAAATATTGACAATATTTTCAAAATCTATTTTCTGCAATTATTATTTTATCTAGAACCCAAGAATAACCAATGCGAAGCATTTCAGTTCCTTTGTAGCAGGACTCCATTCGAAGCTATTGGAGAATTTGGACAGGGAAACTTTATTAACCGCATTTATTCCGATAAATCATACGAATTTAAATGAATTTTTAAGTTCTCGTGAAGGGTATGTAATTAATAAAATAGTGTTTTTTATTTATTTTTTTTTTATTTTTTAATTTTCATTTAATTTTATCAGAAACACAATGGAGATGAAAAGAGACACTTTCCTTAGGCATATTGTGAAAGGTCGATACAGTTCTGAAGATATTAAGGAAAAAGGAGGAGAAGTGGTTCGTTGTTGAGAAGAGCATCTATTGTAAGCTTTTATTTGAATATAATTAACGTTTATTTTCGTAGTTAATTACTGCTGGAATGCGTGAAATTCCTCTTAAATTTTACTTTGTACCGGATCCGCATGAGAAGGGCAAAGAACTCGCTATCGTAGAATGCCGTGGCCATAATACTACCGTGGAATTATTTGATATGGATAAGGAAAATGGCATTGTTCATCTAGTATATAATGTGCTTGGATTTTTCGGTGGCACAATTTACGATAGATTGGCATCGGATGAGTTTCAAAGCTACAGGTATTCTTAATAAAAAGATTCTCATGTGTAAATACACCTCAACTAAAATACTTTAAGATACTTTGGTTCAATTCCGGATTTACTTTTGCTTCGTTTATATGGTTGGTTTAATATTAAGTACGCAGTTAAGTTTTCGATCTTTCTAATCAGTTGAATATTAAAAATTTCATGAAAAATGCATAAAATTGTTTCGCAATTTTTTGCCATGTCTCCCACTAATTGATGATAACATGGTACATTTTTGCATCCAAAAGCATTGGTTCAATGAACGTTGCAACATCTTTGAGGTAGGCCAAGTATGCCCCCAACTAACCGATGCAGCATTGATCGTGATAAGTAATAATCCGAAAGAATTATCATTGGCAGATCTCTATTCCTTAGTTTCATGGACAATGGAAGTGTAATGCCACGCAGCGGTTTCGTGTTGCGATCTCACTAGTCTTGCCTCGCATGCCGGCCATCTCTTGGGTAATGCATTGAATTCGAATTAATTAGCCGCTGCGTGGTAGCATTAGTCATCAGAGTATACGTTTTCCTTCGGCTCTCAGTCTAGTCATAGGTCATCCAGATTCATTCCTTTTGAAATTTTACCATGTGATGTCGTGTAAACGTATAAAAATACCTCCGTGGAAGTTAATCTTATGTTTGCGTATCATTTTCGTAACCGCGGACAACGCTTGCGGATTGACGTCTTCAATTATTTTTGTTCTTCCTAAGCGCTCTTTGCCTCAGAATCGAAATTTCCACTTCTGAAATATTTAAAACAACTTTTACCGGAGATCTTTTCACGCAAACGAGAAGCAAAGCCAAGCTTTTCCCTATAAACACCGCTGAACAATTTTCTGCCACAATATGTATCCATTAGCAAATGACATGCATGGTATAAAAAAACACAATCGCTATGCCGTGCAGAAAATTCAGAATCTTAGTCGCGGATCTAGTACAATATTATAGTACAATTTTATTAAAGAACTATAAACAAAAAGTTGCTTACTATAAGTCAAGCATGTCTGTCATTGGTTAGCATTTTTATCTAACATCAAGAAGCAGAAGAAGAAAGATAGTCCTTTTAATCATATCGGTCGGTGCGACTGGCATTCTTTCTTCTGTTCGTTAGTCTCATGTTTCATCCGCACATGTCCTTCGAAATGTTGAACGCCATTTAGAAGAAGTAGTTATGTCAAAACAGTTTGCAATCCTCGCAATTTATCGATAAAAATTTCCGAGTATTAAAATTAAACTGATGTGAAAGCTTTGGATCTGATGGAACAATTTTATCTCTTCCCCATCGCAAAAAAAATCAATTTTTAATATTGCAATCACGATGATGATGGTGAATAAGTCACAATGCACTATAAAAATCAGTTGCACCATTATTTGGACCAAGCAAATCTATTTTTTGGACTTCATGTAAGCGTAATTTCTGAAATTTTTTATCCAAAATAGATGAAGAGTTGTATAAGAAAAAGTCATTTAGCATACTTAAGGGGATACCGCCCTTGCCAGATTAAAATTTTCTTATTTACTGTAAAAAGTGGTTATCTAAATAACTTTATTAAGCGAAATGCTTTGCTTACTTATTAACTGAAGTAAATTAGAAAAAAAAAAAATACAACTGATATACCCTACACTACACTATCTAACACAATTCTTATTTTTCTATGAAATTACTATGTTGGGTCAATTTTCATCAGCACAATTTAAAACTTGGACTTCTCTGCTCTATCAATTATCTTGAAAATCCTTATTAGGGTAGAATTGAATAAATAGGCCTAGATGGCCCAAATTTGGTAAAGTTAATGTTTCTATATTAAACTAGTATTATGATATAATTTTCATCATGAGGCGTTGAAAATTGGACCTTCTCGTCGTATGAACTTCAGTTTTCGTTATGTGAGTGTGCGTTCAAAAATGGGCCTCGCCGGTCCAAAGTTTCGATACCAATTTAGAATGCCCAAATACTATTGCTTGGCCACTTTTGTGGAGAAATTTTCAATAGAGCGTTATGTGGGGAGTGGCTGAAAAAGGTGAACCGATCCGAACAATTTTCAATAGAGTTCGCCCTTGGTTCAAAACACGTCACTGTACCTAGTTTATCTTATCGAGCTATAATTACTTTGCTTAATTTTCTTTTTGTTCTCTTCTATTGAAAAAAAAAAGAAACGAAAGGAAAGGAAATTTTGTATTTTTTTTTAGGGATACCTTACGTATAGCCGAATTTTCGGGTTTCAATGAGGAAATAAAAAAGACTAACCAGAAGTACACTTACTTTGTACCGAGCAGGGAAGCTTGGAAACTCATCGCAGATAAATACCCTCCGGCGAAAAAACATTTATTTATGCCTGAATTTAAATTTCAAGTAAGCAAATAGATAATTACTGGTGTAACCAACCATTACATAAATATTTTTCACATTTCGTGCAGTCCCGTTATCTTTTGGAACGCCATCTTGTCATTAATGATGAGTATACGGCAGAGGATCTAGCAACAATGACGAGAACAGTAGCTAGGGCGATCGTCTTACCACTGCTGAGGGATTTTTTACGAATTAAAGTTTCCAGAATTAGGGGTAAGTCGCTAATGTACACAATGCAAATAATTTTCACTTATCCTGCCGCTAATCTACTTGTTCTTTTTTATATTTCTATCGCAATTTCGGATAAACAGAGGAAGGTAAGTGCAAAATACAAAAATAAAACCATTTCACATTTTACGCGAACAATTGTTGGTGGCTTCTCCTGGCCCTTCTTCTAGTTCGTTAATATTATTCCTTACTCGATTATAATTAGAGATGAGGAGTACACTTGGGCTTAAGCATTGATAATTATTAAATTTTAATTAATTATGCTTATTGTGATTTGTAATGAAACGGAATAACTTTACTTGATAGATGATCTCGTGCGGGTTTATACACCTACACCAGTTGTAGCATAGGATATGTTAAGTTAATGCGGTCGTATGTATCGCACAGAAGGGCTTAAAATAGATTCATCCTTTATTATACCGATCAATTCAAAATCATAATCTGAATTGATCTAAGCCTGTCTATCCGTCTGTCTATTTGTCCTCCTGTCCGTCTGATGTCTGTCCACGTAAATTTATGTTCAAGGTACAGATCGCAAATTTTTAAGATATTTCGATCAAATTTGATACAGTGAGGTGTTTTCACCCAAGGAAGAACTCAACTCTGTTGAAAATGCCTCGAATCGGTCCATTTTTACGGACCGGTCTTAACTTTTAATATTTGGTTATCCATAATTACAAATTTCATACAAAAATAAGAATTGTATTAGGGGCAATGTGGTCTACGATATTTATTGGTCGACCTCGACCGACAGTGGAGAGGGATTTCATTAGGATGTCATTCTCGGAACAGTAAATAGCGACTTCTCTATGTTTACCCTTTTTTTTTGAGCAAATAGGAAGAAATTAATGAAGATTCCATTCCAAATACTTAGCGAGAAGAACGGTATAGTGACCATAGGATTCCATTAAAAAAAAATAAAAACTCTTTTCGATTCGAGCGAAAAACATTAGCTCAATAGCTTCAAGACAATTGACTTTTTATTATATTATAACATAGTAGAGAGCGGTAAAAAAATTGTATTTCCTACAGATTACCTTATACGCTATAATTCACTGGAAATCAAGATCGTTCATCGGGATATTTATTGTTCAAATGGCATTTTTCACGTAATTGATTCGCCATTTTTGGAAAAAGATGATCTTACCATAATACGTGAAGTTTCATCAATCAATAGTAACCCATAGAAAAAATATCCAAATATTTATCACAGCGAACAATACAAACACATATTGTTTGCAATGAAGAGGAGATGCGAAGATTTTATTTTCATACAGTTATTGTGTTCATTGGGATCAAGCTTTGTTGTTCATATTCCTGTTATTCATTTATAATATTTCTTTTCGTTTTTTTTAATATTTTATTGAAAATTGTTTTTACTGTAAAAACTTTTTAGAAAAAAAATTATTCTTTGCCAAATATATTTCATCATTTATGATTGATTATAAAACATAACATTAATTAAAACTAAAGAGAATGATTGAACGTTTAACAGAAGAAACTTCGACAGATTGATTAAAGACTACAAGTGCTTTGGATAACTAATTTGGTAAGTGTGAAGAACAATGGGAGATGAAAAAAAATTAAAATACAGTTCTCTCATAAACGAAATTTATTATTCAAAACAAATAAACCAATTGTAGGAAGTTGGGCCTGCCCGACAATGGGATATGCCTGTAGAAAAATCAAAAGGTTTTGCAAATGTTTTCTTCAGTGACATTTCTGAGGAGGTCTGCGTAGAAAGATTGCCTTGCAGTGTAAGCTAAAAAGCAGTGGCGGTAAGTGAAGTCCACCTACGGCAAATTGAAGGTGGAACATAGTAAAAAGCTAAGATCGAGGGTACATGGCTCAAGGTTTGGCTCACTTGCCAAAACGGCTAACTGCGTAAAATCACGAAAATGAAAAAAGGTATAAATGATTTATGTTTACATATTTCTATACCGCGTGTTTGCTGCGAATAAAATACGATCTTCATGTGTTTTTAATTTTCAATTGCTTTGTCAAAAACGTGCGTTAACTACATTATTGCTACGATATCCATTAGAATATATTGGCTTCTAAAGTAAAGTACTTATGGATAGAAAAATTTAGTATCGTTTAGCGACTATTATTAAGGGTATTTGTTTCGAATCAGTCAATCAGGCGCTTTAAGAGAAATATGTAAGAAAAAATTCAGAAGGTCAAGTTAATCAATTTGCCAAGAAAGGCACTCATATGCTTGACCCAGACATAGCTATATCTACATGCTTGCCTAAAGTGTCCACATTTTAATTACTATATGTATTGCAAAATATTACACGCATCAAGTGCCAATTAGTGATATTTTGGATAAATTAAAATTTTCTCAATCTGCGATCGATTTGCCGACGAATTCTTTTTCTAACAAAATATTTAAATAGAAATTGTTTTTAAAATCAATTTTTCTTGATTGTACCTATTAGATGCTGTGTCTTCCAGTTGCGGTTTCTTTTAAGTACACTCTCAAAAATCAATGACTTCTGTGGGCGTACGCCAAGGCGAATTCTCGGTTAATCATTTTCTCAGAAAAATTTTTGAATTTCTCTTCTAAGTGCGAATTCGCAACTCCAGGTCAAGCAAATAAAAAGAAAAATTTTAAAAACAAAACATTGGTGGGTAAATAGGGGCAGAAAAAGAGAGACCTTGAAAGAGGGATAGAGAGGAAGAGAAATGAGCAAAGTGAACAAAATCTATTATGTTAACGAACTTTTACACGACAATAAAGATTTAGAATTTTTGGTTAAGTACGATGTCGACCAAAATGCATGTATTAAAGAGAATCGATTGTTGAGTTGATAGTGTGTAGCGAATCCAAGGAAAACATTAAGTCTTATATCATTTACTATAAGTCCATTATATAAGCTTTATGAAGTGAAAAACTCTTGAAAGGAGCTCATTTTATTATTTATAAAACGCCAATAACACCATTTGCTAAGCGCTGCTAAAACGCAGATCCCCACGATAAATATGCGCTTCCCCAGAAGTGTTACACCTATAAACCTATTTTCGTCCGATAGCAACGAGCAGCAATGAGGATAATACAGGCAAGGGATAACAGTAAGACTCTTTTTTTTTTTTGGGCAATAAACGAATTGCCGAGTTCTCTAGAGCCAACCCTTACGCACAAGAGTATATTTATTCGTGCATATTTCGAAATGTTCACTAAAGCGAAGCAAGTCCAGACAACGTAATGGTTCAACAGCGTCTAATTTACTTAAAACCGATACAGGTCTAATTAGCGAGCAAATCTTGTGGTTTAATGTCTTAATATTTGATGAGCCCCGCAGGCTTACAAAATTATTTAAAGCAGTTTGGAAATCGTGCAGGACGATCTTAGGTTGAAGGAGGAGAATAATTTAAATCTGTTCTCGTATGTGAAGGCATGCAATAATTTCATCACGAATGAAAGAGAGATCATTAATACATGGAAGAAACGAAACAAGGTTTAAATAAACGTTTTGACGCCTCTCAGAGTATTTTGTTGGAAAGTGGCAACTGCGTTCAAGAAGGTTAGCAAAGGTTAATTAGCGACGCGTGTTGGCAAGAAGAGATATTCTGTTCATTTCATATAAATTTTTCCTCTTAAAGTTCTCGTTTTCCTTTAAAAATTGGGAAGTTTTTCAAATTCATTCGTGATACACTCGCGAAGTGGGTGCGGGAAATGCCCGAGAAACGCCACGATAACGCGCAAAACCACTTGTGGTACAGGATATGTGAAGATTATAAAGATGCATGCAAAAGCCGGATAGATTTAAGACAGCCTCACATTTTCTTATACAGATCGTTTTAGAATGATTTCCTGGCCTAGTAACTCGATGGAAAAACTTTTGGATTGGACATATTGATCGCTTCCCGTATGATTGTTCATACAAAAATTAAACCAGAAAGTTTAGTTTTCAATATGTTATGACGATAGTGATTTGACATCAAAATTAACTATAGCAAGCTTGGACTACGTAACTTTATGTTCTTTATTCGATCGCAGGTTATCAGGATTCTCGTGAGAAGAAAGCACTTATATGGTAGCAAAGTGAAATTTTTACCATTATAGAGTAAAAATAAAGAGAGAATAATAAGATCCTTAATAAGATAATTAATTTTGATGAATATTGGCCCCCTTCGTTCATGTTCTGAAAACTCCTTATCAAAACATGATTATTGTACTCGGGCAACGTCGACTATTAAATATCCTTCCACTTCGCCTACTGCAGTTATTCGTTCGTGTTAATAATAATATACCAAAAAGGACATGGAAAACCATAGTTTTCGTGAAGGCCCGCATTTTGGAAGATCACATTTTCCCTCCTTGGAAGAGTTCGCGCTTCGTAACAGCGCCTATATATGTTGGGATCTGAAACGCAACTATGAATTAATTTTCATCATAATATATTAAAAATTAAACCTTTTTGCGAAGGGCTTAGTACTCATGGGATATCTTATATTGGGAGGGCCTAGAAATAGACCTATCTCATTCAAATTAGGTCCACTTCATTTTTATATTAAATTACTATTAAAAACTTTCATAACAAATATTTAACAATTGGGCTTTTTTGGCATATAAGGATTTATGTTTGAAAAGAATCCTTAGAGGTGGTGGCATGCAAAAAATAGATTTACGTGGTCCACATTTGGTAAGTTTGATTACTTTGTCAATTTACTATTATGAGTGAATTTTTAGGATGAAATGTTGCAAATTCGACCTTTTCACCCTAGAAAACTTCAGTTTACGTAAGAATGATCAAAAGATGATTCAAAAAATTGCCCCAGCCGATCCGAAGTTTCCGCACCAATTTAGAATGCCGAAATACTATTGCTTGGTCACATTTGCTGAGAAATTTGGAAAAGTGCAAGATTTTTTCTATATAATGACTTTTCAGAATGGGCCACTGTATAAGGACTGGTCGAAAAAGTAGACCAATCAGAACCGTTTTCAAAAAGCGTTCCTCCTTGGGCCAGTGTACGCCTGTTTACCAAATTACATCAAAATATCTCACAAAATGCGACTTGCACCTTGAACTCAAAAATACATGGGCAGACGGACAGGTGAATACATGAACAGACGGGGAGGGGGACAGACGGGCATACAGGCTTAGATCCATTTAGCAAATGATTTTGAATCGATCGATATAATAAAAGGCAGATCTATTTTAAGCCGTTCTGAGTGTTACATACATCCGCACTAGCTTAACTAGTGTGGGGTATAAAAATAAATGCGAACATGTATTAGGTAAAACGGTGCGAGATGTTACCCTGCCAGCTGATATGTAAGCAGGCTAAGCCCAAAAGAATAATGTCCCACCGCGATCAACTTTAGTTTGGGCCCTGTTTTGAGACTGATGATGTAATTCGTGCAGATTTTCTTAAAAATGCTGCCGTTGGAATGAAAAAATTGCTTTACCGTTATTTAGCCTGAAATTGATGTCAGAGATGAGAGCGACGTGTCGCTAAGATAGCGCCCTTCGCCAGTTGCACTTACAATAAAGACTAACAAACTCTATTGTCTTAGGCCTGAATCCCTTGACGACCGGATGTGCTGTGCTTCATTTCCTGGTAAAACGAATAGAATCTTATGACATTACCTACTGAAAACACTAATAATGAAAAAGATGTCAGTTAGTTTGCTGCTAACTAAGGAAAAACTCCCGCTCGTGTGGATAAGTCTGCGCAATTCCATTGTAAAGGAATCGGTACTTTTTGGTCAAAGTAGTCCACGTTTGATTGCATGTTGCAATGCATGGCCACGAAACGCAAAAAAAAAAAACTGACAAGTGAACAGCATACGTACGGGATTTTTGAAAAATATTCCTTAGGCTGCCCATTCAATCCAAAGCGTCAAAGACAGTTCATTCGTATTTTAGGCCAATATTTCAATCTTGATTTATTCTACTCATTCTGCGTCAAAGAGCACATAATGTATGGTTTTATGGTAGATTGATATCGAAATTGAAAAATTTATGGTTTACTTGTATTCGCTGCAATTGAATTATTGAAATGCTATCCAAATCCTGTGGGGCTTATTGCGTAAAATATCAACGCGAAGAAATGTTACACTAATTTTGGAAATAAAAAATATTTTAGAGAAATTAACTTAATTGTAGCCAGCTTACGAGATCACATATTTGGTAAATGTAATAAAAGATTTTTCGCATTTTTCTGCTGCGGGAAAAACCTACAAATCGAGACTAAAACGAAATGTGCTTATAATCTTTGCAAGACTTGTGTTTCTTGGCCAGCAATTATTTCAATTTACCAAAGCCTAAATATAAATGTAGATTAATTTTTTTTTTCCGTTTTCTTTTTCTTTTTTTTTTTTTTTTTGGTTGAAAATGTTTTTTTCTTTAATAAATAGTTTTTCAGTAATTTATCATCGCGTTTGGCCTTAAGTTTCTAAAGCAATCATTTAATCTATTCATTCAGTTGAAAGATAGATTTTGTTATTTTCGTCCAACGTCTAACTTTAATTTTAAATTGCGATTTTTTTTTTTTTTTGTAACGTTGCACTACGAACGAATATATTGCTTCGGTCAAGTGGTTAACAAAAAAAAAAAAGAAAAAAAAAAATATTTTTTTTTCTTTCAATTTCTGTTAGCAATTATGGTGATTCCGGTGTTGCGAATTTTGTATTAAGTCTAGTTTAACAAGGCATTCGATTGATGTTTAAGTGCAAACTACATATAGTTTATAAGACCAACACAGTTATTGTATGGGGAACAGACTTAAGTAAACGCCTCAATGTTGCGACATCTCTTTAAAAGCTAAGACCAGTTTCGCATTTGACGGTCAATTCAATGCAAAATTTGAAAAAAATTAAGAAACAATTTTGTTTTAATATTTAGATGGATTAATAACAGCTTATGGCAGTGATATTAATTAAAGTTTAAAATCCTTTTAATTACAGTATGTACTGACCTAAAGTTTATGGCATCAATTTAACCTCTTTTAACACCCTTGTAAACCTGTGGGCGCAATTCATATTTCATTTTTAAAAGACCTTTTGAATTAAGAAATATTTCATTTAGCACGGTTATTATATTATTTTGAATGACGTGCAGCGGTTTCACCTAAAGTTTTGAAACTGGACAGACACTTAAAAAACAAGACAAAGTTCTATTTCCATAACTCAATCTGCTTAGTATTCTCTTATAGGAAACATAACTCTCTCTCTTTCCCAGACGCAACGTCACTCTACAGTTATCCAAAAATAGGGCGTTATAAGGGAAATGGGGAAATGGGTCCGATCTGAACTTTGGGCCAATGCACACCAGTGTAGCAAATTTCATTAAAATTTCTCAAAAATTGCGACCTGTAGGTTGAACACATGACAGACAGACAGACAGGCGAGCTTGGATAGATTCAAAATCGGTATAATAAAAGGAGTTCTTCTGGCTGCTGTATACTTTCGCATAAACTTTGGACCACACAAGAGGTGTAGGATATAAAAATCCACACTTTCTATAAATGTTATGGTGGGTATAGGTTACATTAATTATTACCTTCTACTTCCACCCTACACCAATTGTGGTACAGGCTATATCAAATTTATGCGAACGTTTGTAATACCCATAAGAGCTAAAGATAGACCCACGTTTTATTAGCCCAGTCCCCTGTCTCTCTGTCTGCCCGTCTGTCCGATATCTATCTGTGCAAATTTGTGTTCAAGCTGCAGATCGCAACTTTTGCGACAATTTGGATGAAATTAGGTACACTGACGTGTTTCGACCCAAGGGTAAACACCATTGAAAGGCTAGGTTGGTCCACTTTTTCAATTACTTTCAATATAACGCCCGATTTTGAAAAGTTGTTATAAAGAAAAAATTTGAATTTTCATAATTTCTCGACAAAAGCGGCATTGGTGTGAGAACTTTTGACTAGCTGAAGCAATTTTTTGAATCCTCTCTCACATAACGAACACCTAAGTTCATATCACAGATGCTTCATGATGAAAATAAGATCATCGCAGTTATATAAGTTAAAAAAAATTAACTGTACAAAATTTGGACAATCTCGGCCTATGTTTTTGAGATGCCACCCTATATAAGTATCCTCACGAACGTAGTTTGATAGGATAGAAACGTCCGAATAATACTATGTTATAATGACAATTAACCCATAATAGTAATTTGATACAAAAATTAACTCTACTAAATTTGGATCACGTGCGGCCATTTTTGGACTCTTGCCTTTATAAGGATTTTCCCGAAAATTTTGATTCTTTAGAGCAGAAAGGTATAAGATGTAATATTTTATGATGAAGATTGATCCATAATACTAGTTTGATATAAAAATTAACTGTGCTGAATTTTGAACATGTACCTCAATTTTTTAACCTCTTGGGTGCTAGCATTCTTACGGAAATTAAGCGTTTATTTGCAAAGACGTCTAATTTTTAATATAGAATATATATATATGTATAATTTTTGAATTCTATGGCAAAAACAAGAATTTTGTTAGACAATGTGATGTAGGGGATTTAAACATCGGCCTAGCTCGACTATACTGTTCTAATTTGTTTTTTTATTTTTAATATTAATCAACTGATCAAGACCAACATTTTTTACGGGCTTTAATGGGATTTTAATAAAAAATTAAAACCAGCATATACTATAAATCCTGTACTAATCTGTAAAATTAATCTATTTTCATATAAATATTTTTTAGATTTCACTTGATCTAATAGGATCAATGAAACTCTTAAAATTAAATTTTGAAACAATAATTACTGTTAGATAGCACTTTGTTGATGCAAATAAAAGGCGGAGTTTTTGAATGTTTCACATGCTTTTCCTTCCCGATTATCGAGTAAGAAAAGGATTGAGTTTTAAATATGTTATGTCGGGTTTAAATCATTTTAAAATTTCATTTGGGTGCAAATGGTCAAAAAATAAAGCAACTGATACCTTGGAGAGAGACATAAAGTAAAGTGCCACTTCTTCTTATTTCGCTTTACAAGCTCTATAAGCTGCTCCAAGCAGTAACAATGGTTTTGAGTATAAAAACTGTTGATTACTTCAGAATTATGTCATCCATGGCACAGTAACGACATTGCACTCAAGGGGGAATGCTGCTGTGACAACCTAAATAGAGAATTTTGTTTGAATGGAAAGGAAGTATAAGTTAATAAAAAAATGATTAAGCATATATTGAACTTTTTAACCGAAAAAAATACTCTTGAAAAACACTAAAAGCACCGGCAACAACAAAGCCAGTCTTGCGGGGCATCTTTAATCTGAAAAAAAGCACTTGGTCTGGCCTACTTCTATAGTTAGGGAAGCAACATTCAGATTTACTTATCAAATTTATCACACGTCCTTCCCATTAGAATGTTATTTTAGAGATTCTGATAAAAATTCAAGCAAAAAGGGAAAGCTCCAAGAGAGTATGTAGTTCTATAGGAAAATTCTTAACTAACATCAAAAACTTGTTCCCAAAATTTTGTAATCTCTTAGCAAAAGCACTCGTATTCAGCCTTTTACGTTTTAAGCGGCCGTCTATTTAAAGCTACGCTTAGATATTTTTATTTACAAATATTGCAAAATAACCCTAAACAATCTCTGAAGACTTCTATTCGAGTATTGGAGAAGTCAGAAATCAAAATTTGAAATATTGGATTATAACTTCACGGCGGAAATTCACTCGACTTCAGGCGATCTTTTCAGAGCGCGTGGAGAAAAAACGTAGAATATCCAAGAAAAAAAAAATTTTTCCGGGTGGTTTTCTTGGGAATCTTCTCTCACATTTCCTTGACGATTCAATGTCAATAGAAAAATTGGTTTTTTCCTCAGAACTTTACAGTCTCTTTCCCACATTAAATTTAGTATGTCCTCGCAATATAATGCGTTGCTCTGAAAGCGAGTCATTCGACAAAGAGAATAAAAAAGAGGACCTTATATCCGCCAGGGGAAAATGGCGTCAAATTGAAAAATTTTTCCAAGGTATAAAGCGATGGTCAGCTAAGAAATATCACAGGAATCGTTCGCCGAAGAGCATCAAATGAAGCAGTTTGCGTCCTTATCTAGATAATAAGGTAAAGATTACTGGAAAGAAATATCAACTGCACGATCGCCTAAAAGTCATGCTATCTCTTAAGGATAATTAACGTCAAATGAGCATAACAAAATCAAATGCCTGCGCAGCCTTCATTGATTCCCTTTCGTTCACTTACCAAACTTTTGGACATTAAATTATAAATGTCTTTGTTTAATGTCCGGAGGGGCAATCATAACACTCTCTTGTCACAAAAAAGTTGAACAGGTTCGAGGTCCAAATCACAGATCAATCCAGTACAATTTGCAAAAAAAGGAAAAAATATATACGATTTTGCAAATAAATATTTGAAAGTCAAACATTTTTCTGTTACAGACTGAACATATATAAAAAAAAATAATATATATATATATGTATACATATATGTATAGTAAATATTCAAGTTTTCAGCATAAGTTTCCTTCCCTTGTGTTCATCTAACCTGAATGCATTCAAAAAGCATCATCTAAACTCTGGTCACAAGCTCCCAAAGAAACAAGAGAACGTTTGATAAAAAGAGAGAAACGAAGAGAGAGAGAGAGAGAGAGAGAGAGCAATTTGATAAGACTCATTTAACTTTAAAGATTTTCCATTTAACCTGAACTCAACAATTACGTAGAAGCGGGCAGAGTGAAGTACTTAACCACGATATCTAAATTCATTGCAACTAAATTTTGAATGATGCGAACTATATCGTTCTTTTTTTCTTTTTTTTTCAACATGATTGAGCATTTTCTGTTTTTCTTCTAAATTATATCGAAAAATATTCTGTTGAATAAAGAGAAGAAAAAAAAAAAAATTACAAAAAAAGTATACTCAAGTACTTTTGTAATAAATACTTGAAAAGTTTTTCGGCTAAAGTTAAAGTTGAAGTTTGTGAAGCACATTGAGATGCCTGTATATAAGATATGGTCATAACACCTAACGAACACAGTTATTCATAACGCGTTTTAGGTGACGTGCAGTTGGTTTAATAAAAACAAAATTATTTAATAAATTTTAATAAACAAAAAAAAAAAAAAAAGGCAACATGAAATTTTTGGTGAGCCAGGAAAAATTTTAAAAAGAAAAAAATTTTATATACATATACATGCATATATATATATATATATAACAAAATTATTTGAGCCTTAAAACGCTTTGAAAGGAAAAAAGTGTAAATGTGTTGAATTTTTAGATCCTTTGCGCTCTATTTGCTGCAGCTGTTGCTGCTCCTGGTCATTTGTTTGCTGATGGCCACGATGGAGGTTTCGCTTATGCAGCTCCTGCTGTCAGCTACGCTGCAGCTGCGCCGGCTGTTGTTAAGACCGTAGCCGCCGCTCCAGCAGTTACCTATGCTGCCGCTCCTGCGGTAACATATGCTGCTGCGGCTCCAACTGTTGTAAAAACCGTAGCTGCAGCTCCAGCGGTAGCCGTTAAGGCTGTTGCTGCTCCAGCCGCTACTAGTTACTCAAGTTTCCAATCGGTAAGCAATGAATTTTAAAATCCAAAAGTATATTGGAAAAAATGCGCTACATAGACACCTGGATTTAACTATATAGTTAATAGATTCGTATTCAATTCAAATTATGATCTGAGCAATTTTTTTTTTTTTTTTTTTTACATAACGTAATTATAAAAAAGAAAAATAACTGTTTTTTGAAATCTGTATACATTTGCGACCATTTCTCTGCACAGCCATCATTGTTGCCCGCCGGACTTAACGGACTTGTAGCCTTTAAACTTTGAAGATCTAAATTGAATGAGAATTTATTTACAATTGTTCGTATTTCAGGTTGTCTCACATCCGACTGCTGTGAAATATGCAGTTGCTGCCGCCCCCGCTGTAGCTGCTGCACCTGCTGTCGTTAAATACGCTGCTCCGGCTGTCACATACGCTGCTGCCGCACCTGCTGTCGTTAAATATGCCGCCCCGGCCGTCACATATGCTGCTGCCGCCCCAGCTGTCACATACGCTGCTGCCGCACCTGCGGTTTCATATCATGCCGCACCTGCTGTTTCATATCATTCCGCACCGGCTGTCACTTATGCTGCTGCTCCAGCTGTCGCTTACTCGTATGGCGGATATGGAAAACATTAAGAAATCTCCAAAGCCAATCCTTTCTCCGAATGATAGTCGCCATTAAATTTTTTTCGTTATAATCCATATTATCTTTTTTATTTAGTCATTTAAAATTTTTGTTATTTTTTAAATAATATTAAGAAAAAAATTTCTCATTGCTTCTGAATTGCACGAACAAAAACAATAACAATAACAAAATTAGCCGTTCACTGGTTGCAAGCTCGAGATAACCATTACTTGGCAGCAACTATATGCTTTTGTAAACATATTTATTTCAATTATTCCTTCAATAATGTGGCAAAATAATCGTAAACAAAAAAAATTTGTAATAAATTTTTAATTTATGCAAAACAAAATTTTGTATTTAATAACTATTTTTAACTTAAGGTCAGTACCGATCAAGATCGCATTTTCAATCATACGAATCCTTTAAGAGTCGCCTTACAAGGACATCCGGTAAGTGCTTTAGACAAGTGCTCAGCTGCAGAAAACGGTGCGCAGTCGTTGTATATTCGCTTATTCCCGTTCCGTGGTTTATTCGAATGGGATCAATCTGATGTGTAAATTTTTTTATTTTCCCATTTTTCAATTTAACTAAATAAATATCAGTTAAATTAGGATATGTGTTAACAACAATACGAACGACAATAATTCAACATTATGAGTAACACCACTAGACTTAGCCAAAAGTAGTTATATCTACATTCATAAATTTATATATCAGTAAGAGGTAATTAAAAAATTCTTGAGCACAATCCTTTTGCTTTTTGCACTGGGTTTTGAAAGTTCAATAAATCAACATTTATTAGTAGTCATGCTAAATCCATTTCCACTAATTATTATCATCTAGGCAATGTTAACATTACACTAAGTATGGAGTCACAAACATCGATTAGGTTGCGAATCTTATTTAAATTCTTGCTACGAACCCTAAGTAGGCTAAATAATTCGTAGCTGCTTCTACATTGGCTAAACTGCTTTATAAGCTGTTAGCTTCTAAGATGTCGAACAGAAGCAATTTGCAATTTGCAGGAAAAATTTCTTGATGAAATTAAATTGAAATATGAAAACATAACCTCAAATTTTCTGAGCAGACCTATTATTTTCCGCACTATCATGCGTATTACTAATGTAAGGAGTAAAGTAACTTTGTCCAGAGCAGAAATACCACCTTCTGTCCGTATGTCCATAATTCTTATATTGGTGCAAAGAAGAAAAAGACATAGTTGAAAATGTAGTCTATTCGTGCACAGGTACGCTCCCAGTAGGTGAAGATGGAAAAACCAAAAAAATAAAAATTTCGAAATATTTTTGTCAATAATTTGTGTCTTACAATAACAAATAATGAAAAGCTTTGCCGCAAATAATGAAAAACTTTGAAATTTACATTAAAAATGATAGATTTTTTCTCCAATGAACCTAACGTTCATAATTACTATGAAAGTGAATATTTTATCTATGCACCGTTAACAATAAATTGCCTTAGTTTTTTTTTTGTGCCACTTTATTTAACGCTCATTACACACAAGAAACTTTTATTTAATGTGAACCTTTGATGGACACTTTCAACTCTGCAAATTTGGATCCAGTAGGTCTATATTTGAACACGAAATAAATCCTTATATTTCCAAGAGGTGTAACTGTAAATAGCTTATGTTGAAGATTTGTACATAGAAGAAGTTTTGATATAGTAGTTTGATCCAATATGAATGTCTATGTCTTATGTCTATGCCTTATGTCTATTTTTGGGTTCGTAGTTCATATACTCGTACTCACTAATAGCAATCCCTTTAGCAAATAGGCTTAATGTATAACATTTTATGATCAAGATAGGTCCTTGATAGCGATATAACATAAAAATGAACCGTCGAAAATGTGAATCACATAGGTCTACTTTTTGGACTTCACCGTATGCAAGGGTCCACACGAAAAGTAGCCCGAAAAAGTCCAAGTTTTAGTTCTTTATGGCGAAACAAGTAAGAACATTATAGTTGGGCTAGGCCGATTCAAATGCCGTGCACCATATTGTCTAACAAGACAAGGCGTATTTTTGCCTGAAATTACTATTATGGGTCAATTCTCATCACCATATATTAAAGACTGAACTTTTCTTTCTGACGAAAATGAATGAATTTAATAATCGGCCTTACCCTTGTTTTATTATTACTGATATACAAAGACAGATTGGGAGTTGAAATTAAAATAATTTGACTAAAATAGATATGTTTATCGGCGGATCAAGTCCCTTTAAAATTTTAACTCCAGTAGGCAACAAATAAGATTATACCTACCTTCTGACTCGGTTTCAGCATCTAAATGTGTAGGCGAATGCGGTTGAATTTTATTTAGCCGTCTATCCTTTTCTATTATCTACGAGTATTTCATATGTGCGCCTGACACAATAAAGCCAATAAGTATCGATCGTCTTAGATCGTGGTAGATATAAACAAGAAATTTTCTTACTTATGTTGTATTCGTACGTGCGCGATACATTAGAGCCATAATAAAAGCCCGACAAATTTTGGATATGTAAGCTAAAGAAAGTTGTTTGAAAACTCAAGCAAACCTAACTTGTCATCCAGGCACGTTGTGTTTCATTTCATTACCAAAAAATTTTCTCTCTCTCTCTTTATTCGTCTCTGCTTTCTTCTGTTGTTTTGGTCAATTGTATCAAATTTCCTGTTTAACTGATTTTGCTTTGTTAAATTCCGAACTAAAAACTATTTATCCCAGCAGCGTTTCGCTGCTACTACGCACTAGCTTGGCTAAATTGGTTGCCCAGGTTTTTTCGTTTTCTTTAAATGTTGCGTACATAGATGAAAATAATGTAAATAATTTTTTATATAATAGGTTAACAGGAAAGTAATTACGATGCTTTCCTTAGCTCTCTTTCTCCCACATAAACCTGATACATAGCAACACAACTAGAAGAAAAAAAAGAGCGTAAAAATTTCTCAACACACATTCACACTTTTCTGGTTATTTTTTTTAATATGCCTCGCCATTCACGCGATGTTCCCCATCTCAGCGTATGGAAGGAGCGATCGAATGTAAGCCTGCCGAGCATCCACTACAGCTGCGGCTACATACCAATCGTAATTAAATTATGTTTTTTGGTACGGAGAATTGGGCAAGCGGATATGTCACCGGGTTTCTCACGCAATATTATCCAATTTAATCAACTATTTTGGAAAAGTTCGCATAGAAAGTATTATTTTTATTAAAAGTCGTCCTCTTTTTGAAAATTATTTCTATAGAAGGTTGATTGTGTCTTTTAAAAACAAACGGACAAGCTTAACTTATATATAGAATTATTGCACATTGCAAAGTTCTCGACAAGTATTGTTTTATAATATATAGCCCAAAATTTGGGAACCTCATGAAAATCGGGGGGAAATACACATACAGTTTGAACTGCATTTTTTTTCCACTAACATTAATGCTCGCACAGATGCATTAGGTTGCCTTCTTTTTGTGGGATATATAATGAAAAATATTTGCTTAAGGTCACCGGAAGCTCTGTATACAATGGTCTTTTCGAATCCTCAGATATATTTCGAAAGGAGATAGAGATCATAATGAAACTGTTAAAGCGATTGAGAATATAATAAAATCTCATGACTTTAATGATATTTTTTGATCAACATTAGGTACATGTCGAACAGATTAAACAATGTGTGCTGAACCTAGAATAATTAGCCTAAATTTTACTGTTTTAGTATCTTCAACTTGAAATTATTATTTATTTATTTTTTTTTCAAATGAGCGATAACTTGGGGATAGTATGCTTCCATTTGCGAGAAAGGTGGTGATCAGTAAGGATTATAGGTAGAAACAAGGGAAGATGGGTAAAAAGCCCTCTTAATTTGAATTGATCTGGAATGATAACCTTTTCAAACTAAGTAACACTTTGCATGTTCGTTGTTTCGCGGGCAATTCGATTTTATTTTCATCCCACATTTCTGTTAACATCCGAATTTCTGAGGGTAAATACATAAAATAAAATAAACTCTTTGATATGTATGTCCGTCAGTCTCTTCTTGTGTTCACACTGTCTGTTCTTGCGTCACAAAACGTGGTTAACATTTATGATTGCTTCACCTATTTCGTACAGCTGGCGGCTTAACAACAATTAGGAGAACATCTAGCGGAGAAAGGAATTAACCCAAAAATATTGTGGTGAACTTAGGTATTGGCAACTTGGTTGTAAAAAGTTATATAAATAGATTGCTCGAGGAAGACAAAATGAGTAGAGTCAAGAGAGTTGAGTCGCAATATTTAAACGGACAAGACCAGAACGGTAATAAAGCCGGTGTACATATAAGGCCTAGCGGAAAATTCCGTCCGTTTTTGGAATAACACAGAATAGAAATCACCAATGCTACCTTCCGAACATGATTCAAAATGGTTTACTGAGCTGAATTAAGGCTTTCTACGATCTTCGGTGATGTCAGAAAAGTAACAACATCGTCACCCGTCAAATATGGTCGCTCAGTACGTGGCTTATCAGAAAGATCGAAATCGCCGGTTCCAAGTGTTTCGGACCACCTTCACCAACCGCTTTCAATAAATTTCTACAGGCTTCAGTAGTATTTCTTCCTTCACGAAATTCCTATAAAATACAGAGGGGTAAAGGAACTTTATCAGCAGCCATGGGTACACTACTGCTTCACATTTAAGACTAACTTGAATCAACTTTGTTTTAGTTAAATTGCTACGTCATTATGTATACATTAAGCAATAAAACTAGGGAGCCGAAAATGCGCCAAATAAATCTGTGCTTACCTGTCGGTAACTGTTGTCATAGAAGCGGACGTAACTTTCCCGTGGGCCTTATATAACTTCTCGTAAATAATTTATAAATAGATCTACTAAAAAATGTAAATGAAATCCATATCTGTATAATTCAGCGGTACGGACCTTAATCGGAAAAGAAGTTGAATAAAAATGGAAACTCCATAAAAGACGGTTCCCGTTACCATACATCCCTACCCTCCACATACAATTTTGTTCTTTCAACTCATACATATACCAATTGACACTTCCTTCACTCGTTATCTCTGTCATTAACCTCAATATTTTTTAAGCAAACTGTTCGCTTTCGAATTTTGTAGATATCACGCGTATGTTACCCGCCAGATCAGAGCAATTTTTGATAGGATTTCTGAACATCAATTAAGAGCGTATCCCAGCCCTTTTCATTTATGGGTGCGTGGGTTTATAAGTGAACTTTGAACGACCAAAAAGCGTACGGAGATAGACGTATATGGCTAAAGATAAGCAAAACATCAGTCTGTCTAAAAAGTTATTAACTCTATGCGATCATAAAATTCGTATACGTTCAAGATACATTGGTGTATTGGGAGAACACAGTGCTCACAATAAGTGAAATGCTTTATTGAAAATTATGGTTTGTGTGGAAACATTTTAAATTGTTTTGTATTTTCCAAAATAAGTTGAAATTCTTATGTAATAATAATTAAGCTGATAACCATAAAAGCATAAATATTTTACGATATTTCTCAAAAGGCAATTTAAAGTACAAACCCCTTTAATTGTTATCTGTGCTCGTTGCACACCCAACGTCAATCACAACTGACAAACTATATAGTAGATGGACTTCATATGCGATACTTCATCATCATACTGCATACTGCGCATACGTACAAACTATTCTATAAACGTAGACATTAACTAAACTAGATTTACTTACTTACTGACTGATTTCCCAAATGGACATGTAAAAGCAAATTACAAGAATCGTATGTATTACCTGTATAAGCATGAAATGCATACTCATGCCTTTGCCGTGTACTTGTACATATTTTCTGCCGTGTATGATCGTGTGATAATTTTTCTATATTTTTGGGGTGATTGTGCGTTTCTTTCAAAAACGTATTTGATTTGATTTAATTCGTTACAAATTTTTATGATTATGCGTACTGTGTGGTACAACTAAAGCAAGCTGCTAGTATTAGTACTAAAATAAGTGACAATTTTTGTTGTTAATGTTTACATTTGTATAAAAGTATCGTTATAACGTGCAATGAGACGCAGTTACTTTTAACCTGATATAGCGTTAAGTTGTGTGAGGAGTGGCAAGCAAACTAAAAGCGTGAAAATAAATTTAAAAAAAATAAATAAATAAATAAAAATTAAACTTATTATCCTTAAATTAAATTATAATTTAAAAAATAATTTTTTTTTTACAAAACAACAACGTCGTAATGAAGTTTCTGGTGAGATATACTGAGTGTTACAACAACAAAAAAAATAAATAAATAAATAAATAAATAAATAATTTTTTTAGAGAAATTTTTTAAAATATAAAAAAAAAAAAAAATAGATCTATATTTGTTTTGAAACGAATCTCGGATGCCTATCCCATTGAGCATGAATTAGAAAGAGCGCAATATTTTTTATACTCACAACTGAGGGAATGGGATAAACTGGTTTTTTGTCAGTCCGTTTGTAACATTTCGAGCTTATATCGTAGAAACTGTCCAGAGTAGCTTGATCTACTAAATCAACTCAGCTATATCCGTCCATGTCACCGGCTATTGTTATAAATCGTTCAATTCTTGCTCTAGCACTAAGGATTAATTTCTAAAATGCTTGCAAAGCATTCAACAAATGTCCATAATGGCTATTAAGTGAAACAAGTTTTTGAGCACTAAGAGGAAAGAAGCTTAAACATACCTCTTAGCGAAGAACTAGCCAATCTTTTTAGGAGATGCATCAATTTTAAGATAAAAATATTACTTATAGGTCCGCTGGCCTGAAAGTAAGCAAAAACTTATAGAAGTAAGCGTCCATAATTCCGCTCATAGCGAATACATCGCCTTACCCATTGTTAATCGCGGCTGCATCAATAGACGGAATAGGATAACTTTTTATACTGGTCATTCATAAGACGCGGTATATTGTCAGTGTTACATTTTCGATCAATATCTGCTCGAGTTTGTGCATTGTGTTCAAATTGAACCTGTTACTGTTCACATCTGACTAACAAACTCAGTATGCAAACTTTGCGAAATTGTACCGAGAATTTTTGTTGGAATATATTACATATGCAATATATATATATGTACATACATATATATATTTGGAATGCATTTAGTTGTGTCCGTCCGTCCATCAACTGGTTTTGGACAAGCTCCAAAAGTTAAAACGGAGTTTCAAAATTCCCATATATATGTATATGTACATATATATACATCTATATATTTGTGGATATTTGGCAATATTACTATACTCACTGCACCAACTTATGGGCATCCGAAAAATGATCTAAAACTAAATAAAAATTTTATTGGATTGGATTTAAAAACGCAGATCCTGCTCAGCTTTATTGCTGCAACTACTGCAGCTCCTGGCCATTTATTCGGCGGCGGCTATGGCGGTTATGGCGGCTTCGGCGGTGGCTACGGTGGAGGAGGCATTGCCATTGCTGCCCCGGCTGTAAGTTATGCTGCTCCTTCTGTTAGTTATGCTGCTCCCGCTGTTAGTTATGCTGCACCGGCTGTCAGTTATGCTGCACCCGCTGTTAGTTACGCTGCTCCAGCAATTAAAGTAGCTGCAGCTCCAGCTGTGACATATGCGGCAGCTCCGGCTGTATCGTATGCCGCACCTGCCATTAGTTATGCCGCCGCAGCTCCTGTTGTAAAAGCGGTCGCTGCCCCGGCGGTAGCTGCTGCCCCCGTAGCTGTTAAGGCCGTTGCCGCTGCTCCTGTCGCCACAAGTTACACTACTTTCCAATCGGTAATTTGCCTAAACTTCTTTGATATTTTACCTTCTCTTTTCCAATCTATATTTGGAACATTCTTTTTTGTACCCTTTCTTAGGTCATTTCTAGTCCAGCTTCCGTTCGTTATGTTGCCGCTGCTCCCGCAATTGCAGCAGCTCCGGCTGTTAGCGTAGCTGCAGCTCCAGTAGCTGTGGCAGCCCCTGCCCCAGCTGTAAGTGTAGCAGCCGCACCTGCCGTTTCGTATGCTCCGGCCGTTTCCTACGCTGCTCCTGCCGTCTCTTATGCTGCTGCTCCTGCTGTAACATACGCTGCTGCTCCCGCTATATCTCTGGGTGGCATAGGTTATGGTGGTTTAGGTTATGGTGGTTTAGGTTATGGTGGTGGCTACGGTTACGGAGGCTACGGTGGCTATGGCTTCGGTAAGCATAAATAAGGATCTCCGCCGCTTATTTAAAATGAATCCAAACGTTCCGCTTCGCGTTGCCTGCGTAAAATGCCTACGAATTTAGTCGTTTAGTCCGTAGTTATTAAGTTTAATAAATTTTCTCTTTGTTTTCTTTGTATAAAGCAATTAAAAGAACAGCAAGTATCACGCACACACAAAAACACAAGTACAGACTGCATGTTGCAGAAAGAATCAAAAAGAAAAAAAGAAAAAAAAAAAAAAGACAATCATTTCCTCTTTTATCTCATGTACTATAGCACTAACTCTAGAAGTATACTTTCAAGTTAACTATATTTGTATTAGTAGATGTTATATACACTGTTTTTGTATTGTCCTTAAACATGAGCAAGGAAAGAAGTTCATTAATGCCAGATGTAAAAATTTACAATAATTGAATATAATAAAAAGTGAACTTTTTTCAATGAATTTCATCGTAACTTTATTATATAAACTCTCAGCTCACGCTAGCTGAGACTCAAACTAGAAGAAATGGGGCAAGAACAACTAACTAGCTCTATACGAGAAAGATTCTCTATAAACATATTATAAACAATGTATTGTTTTTATAAAAATGAGAGAATGAAGCTGAAGCGTAGAAAGCCGATATGATCTTTCGATTCAGGACGATAAGGATATCAAGTAAAAATATTGAAAACGCAACAAAATTCTGAAAAAGTCCTTAGCAAAAAGATCATCTATATATTTACACTTTTTATTGCTTTACATGTTCACACTAATTTGAAAAAGTTATAAAAAACTTTAATTAATTTACACAAAATACAAATTATAATAAATTTAATTTAGAAAAAGTCAGCAATGCCACATATCGTACAGGATATATTAAATTTGTGCGGATGTTTGTAACACCCAAACCGACTTAAAATAATCCCACATTTTATTATACCGATCGATTCAGAATCATTTTCTTAATCCATTTGTGCTTGTCTGTCCGTCTGTCCGTCTATTGTTTGTTTATGCACTATTGCGTTTAACATACAAGTCGTAATTTTTAAGATAGTTTGATGCAGCACTGTGCACTGATGTGCTTTGACTCCAGGACGAGCACTATTGAGAATGATACGGGTTGGTCTACTTTTGCGACCGTTCCCCATATAACACCCTATTTTGAAAAGTGGTTATATGAAGAAAATTGCATTTTCAAAATATTTCGACAAAATTCGCTAAGTAACAGCACTTAAGTTAATATGAAAAATTTGATTCGATTGGGGCAAGGTGGTGAAAGCCCCTTCCTTTCCCTTTCGTTCGTATGAAAACTGAATCTGTACTAGATTTTATCAAAATATCTTATATATTGTAGCCTCTAGGTTGAAGAAAAGAAGACGGACGGATGGCCCAACAAGCTGAACATTCCAAAAGTTATTCTGAATCGATGACTATAATAAGAAATGGGTGTATCTCAAATCCAACTGGGTGTTGCATACATCCGCATAAACCTAATATCTATCTTCTATCGCAAGTAGTGAAGGGTATAAAAAGCTAATTAAAAGCTAATTAATAAATATCCTGGACCGCTTGTGTAAAGCAATACTTGACCTATCTTCATCATAAATATATTAAAAACTGAACTTTATTGCTAAATTAAGGCTTACTTTGCATAAACAGTCAGTCCCATTCGGCAGTGAATCAGCAAAATATATCTACCTAGCCCAAGTTCATCGTAGTACATTTATTTGGTAAATTACTATTTTCAATCAATTTCATTAAAAAAAAAATAAAAATTCATCCTTACTATCATATGAAGGCTTATTTATTATAATGAGAGAGAATTGTGCAAATGGTCTAAATTTTTTAATTTAAATTTACTTAGGACCTTTATAGCACAGTGGATTACAGAGTCAAATATAATGGCATTTGTTTTTTTTCTGCAAAATAATAGAGGTTTTCTTTCCTTTCAAACCTCAAAAACAACAAACAACAAGAGAATGCTATTAAAATCTTTTAGGTCAATTATAAATAAGTATTTTCCCGAAACAAAAGAAGAAAAACTCAGGTTGCATTAAGAGAGAGTGCAACGCCTTGTGGACTTGCAATTTGTAGTTTACACATTATAAATTATCGAAGCACCCACAATATCCCCAAACATGCGAGCACTTTTAACGGCCCATAATTTTCAAATTGTTACGTGACAGACGTACTTCATTAGATGTGGCCCACGTACTTCATTAGAAAACCCACCTTTTATTATACTGATCGATTCAAAATTATAGTCTAAATTGATCTAAGCCTGTCTGTCCGTCTGTTCGTCCCGAATTATTATTTCTTCTCGACAAAATGAATTCTTTACAATCATTCGTCCAAATCGCCTCACGGTTGGGAAAACAACAAATAATTGCGTAAAGTCTAATCGAGAATGTAGTCAAGAGTGAATGTAACCTTCTGTGCTAAATCCAGTTTAACCTGCAAAGTTTCCGAATGACATGATGTATGCATACACTGCCTTGGATTTTGTAAAAGTTTTTTCAGCATTTAACACGTTACCAAAACCCCACAAGATCTAAATATGGCAGTCACATTCTCATGGTAATACATATTACAGATTAACTTTCTGCCTTGGAAGTTGTTTCGACGCGTTAACCAATCCTTTGCTGCAGAGTGAACAACGGTCCCTCTATGATAAAATCAAGCGGCTACGATAAGATCGATCGTTATCAGTCAATCCAAACACATGCAATTATTATAATAAAAATTTTCTACATTTATGTATCCATTTACAATGGAAGAGTTATTAAAACAAAATTTTTTTTTTTTAATTTTTATTCTCTACAGCGCTTGTAGATCCATGTTTTATTATACCGTTCCTGTGTCTGCTCGTCCCTCCATTCGCCATTTAATTTTTTTTTTTTTCAACTTATAGATCACAATTTTTGAAATATTTAAATGAAATCTTTCAAATTTACCTTTTGTTGATGTTGAAAATGGTTCAGATGGGACCACTTGTTCGAACATTTGCGAAATAACGGCTTATTTTGAAAATTCGTTATATGAATACCTGTATTTCGCCAAGTGCTGTAAGATATTTAATGGCACGCTGTAGCCCACTGTAATCTATTTACTTTTATACTCATCCCCGAAAGATGAGTGGTATATTAAGCTTGTCAAAACGTTTGCAACGACCGAAAAGAAAGATCAGAGACCCCATAAACTATAAATATTTTTGATCAGCATCAAATTCTAAATCGATTTAAGCATGCCCGTTTACCAATCTGTGTGTCTGTCCGTCTGTTCTAAGCATTCTCCTGGCGGCACAAATAAATCTATCTTGGAAGAAATGCTGGAAGTTCTTGCACGCAAGTTGGTATTTAAAATAGGCCGAATCGATGGAAGGACACGCCCACAGCACCAAATAAACGGAGAAAGAAATCAAAAGAAATAGAAAAATGGTTTTCTGTCCATAACTCATACATCAGACAAATCTATAAAAATTTGAATATATATACTATGAGTGACGCTACAGTACCTGCACAAAAGTGGAAAGATTTCTCCACGCCTACCCGATATTATTATGCATCAAAATTAAATTTTTTTTTTAATACTTTTATAAAGCAGAAACCCATAAAATATATGAATTCTTATCCAGTTTCAAATTTGGAATGCACTTAAACATCTCTGCCTGCTCGTCTCTCCACTTGCCAATTGTATAGCATCTGTGATGAACACTCTCCCGTCAGCGATAATTAATGTATCACCTACCAATTTGCAAAAGAATTTGAAAGCGAGCTAAACCTTGCCAAGAACACGCCTACAACGCCCAGCCGCCGACGCCACAAGAACGTTTATTTTCAAAATAGAAAATATCTGCCGCGCCTACACTTGGTGTTTTTACTTTTTTTGTCTCTTCTAAGATAAAGGTGATGGGTATAAAAAGTTCGGTCTCGACCAAGTAAAAATCTCTTACCGATTTATATAAAACTACATTTTCTTTATCAATTGCTTCAGAGATAAAAGGAAAGGGAATGGGAAACAAGTCATCAGTTTTGGTTGCAGCAAATCATTCGGACTTAACTAGTTTTCTATATCTCAGCAAAGTGGCTTTGCTCTCGAAGACCCCTTAAACGCATGTTAAAAACCCCCACGGATAGATGAAGAAATAAAATTTTATATCCCGATGAAATAAAGACTCGCTATAGCAAAAGGCAAGCAACCGCGCTCAGGAGATATCTTTCATCTCACCAGAAGCATTCTTCAGCATTCGTCTATAGCTTGTCGCTCAAAAAACCAGAAAAAAAAAAAAAAATGCTCAATACTTCGTGACTGTCTTTTCAAATTTAATTAGGTAAAAATCAAAATTCCTTACCACCCTTTTACATGAACGAAAACTGTTCGTATTTTTGATATAATTCGGCCGTAAATGGCGAAACCGTTAAAGGCTAAAATATGCAGAATTTGTTCCTTTAAAAAACTCAACCACTGATTAATTTAACTGATTTTTTTTTCTTTTTTATAAATATATATATGTATATCATACAAGTATTAAAACGCTACCCTTTCAAATTTTTGTTCATTTATGGTATGAAACAAGCCAACAACTTCACTTCCATAAACAATTCAGCTAAACTAGATTAGAAACGTTGTGCATGATATAGATAGATATAGTTTTGCACATAAACACCGCACATGGCGGTGACAAGAATCGCGACGCACACTTGCATACATATAGCAGAAAGAGTGCAAGAGTATTATTTATATGTAAGGGTATATATGTCTCCACCTAGTTAATGATAATTAAACATTTCTTACATATCAAACAGCGCGCCAGACAACCTTACAATGTGAGCAAATTTTAAATGAATGCACGCATACGCGTATGCTTTTTACATCTGGCGATCGTGTGACGACGATTTCTATGTTTTCTAGGGTGATTGTAAGTTTTTCCGAATTTTATTTCATGATTTGATTTGTTTGCTGATATTCTCCACAAATACACTCTTACGTAGCTATACATACTCTCATGTATATCCGGCTAAACAATTTCGTAGTGTGCGTGTTGTATATAAACTAAGGCGTAATTTTAGTTTGAATGCAGTTGCTTCCATCATCTCAGGCGAAGTGCAATTGAATCTTGAGAAAATCTTGCGAAAAAAGTGTTTGTTTTTTTACTTTTTTTTTGTTAATTGTCTTTTAGTCAGTTCTAACTAATTTGTCCTGCAAAGCATTTAATAATAAAAGCGCATTAGTTGCACACTTTAGGATGAAAGTTTTGGTGAGAGAAACGCAACAAGAGAGATTTTCATTAATGTCAATGTGTGTGCGTTGTTAATTTATTGTCCGTAGATCCTTTTCGGTTTGTTTGCTGCAACCGCTGCAGCACCTGGCCATTTATTTGGTGGTGGCATCGGATACGGTGGTGGCATCGGATACGGTGGCGGTATCGGATATGCGGCGCCAGCTGTCAGTTATGCTGCACCGGCCATTGCAGCAGCTCCGGCCGTGAGTGTGGCTGCTGCGCCAGCTGTCAGTTATGCTGCACCGGCCATTGCAGCCGCACCCGCCATTAGCGTTGCCGCTGCTCCAGTAGCAGTGGCTGCCCCAGCCATTAAAGCTGTAGCTGCCGCTCCCGCCGCTGTAGCGGTTAAAGCCATACAAGTTCCACCCATGACTACATACACATCTTACAAAACCGTAAGATTATTAAGCTTTTCAAAAGCGATCGAAGCTACTTTTTTTCTTTTTTTTTGATGCAATGGAACATTTTGTTATAATAAATACTTTTCGTTTTAGTTTATTCAACATCCTCCCACCATAACTGTAGCTCGAGTGGCTGTGGCTGCTGCGCCTGCGGTAGCAGCCGCTCCCGCGGTCAGTGTGGCAGCTGCACCGGTTGCCGTGGCCGCTCCTGCCCCAGCAATAAGTGTGGCCGCCGCTCCTGTCGTGGCCGCTGCCCCAGCTATAGCTGCTGCACCTGCTATCTCTTTAGGTTACGGCGGTTATGGTGGAATCGGCGGTATTGGCGGTTTCGGCGGCTATGGTGGTTTTGGTGGTTATGGCTATGGCAAGCACAAATAAACGCCCCATAATCTGACTGTCATGTGTATTATATCATCATCATGATCATGAAATGTTTTCATTATTTTCTAAGAAATTGTTAATTAGTTACTAGAAACGGCATCTGTGTAATAATTTCCTTCATAGTTATCATGAAAATTATTATAAAAAATTTTATTTAGATTTTTCTTCTTTCGTTCTATACATACATAATTTTAAAAATACTAGGATTGAGCTTTTGATTTTTATCTTTCTTTATGCTTGAGGTAATAAAATAACGTCCACCAATATGAAGACAATGTTAGTAATTAAAAAACTGAAAGAGTTCAGCATTTTGGCAACTTCACGCCACGGTTCCGTTTGCACGTCAATATATTCTCTGGCCTGGAATATAAACAAAGAGATGGTTTTCAAAATTATTTTCAAAATTTTCTCTTTGCACTGAAAACTTTCAAAATACGACAATCAAAATATTCAATGGGTGCTAGCTTATAAAGGAGCTCTTCTGCATTCTACTTTCGCTTTTTACCTATCACAGTAAGAGATGTCTACACTGCATTATTTTGGGTTTTTTTTTAAATTTCTAGTAAAAGCTTATGATTATGAAACAAGTTTAATAAATGAAAAAAATTATATACGTCTTTGATTATCTTAAAGAAATGTGAAAAAATCCAGAAATAATGTGTAAACTTAAGCCCGTCAGGTAGACACCTACATGATTGTCCCTATGCTAGATTTTTTTTGTAGCAAGATTTGTACTACAATTTATCGACAATAGCAGGTTTTTAACTTTGATGACCGATGGATGAATTTTGGCCGGTTGACTTAAGCTAAGTCTACCTATTTTAAGTTTTCGAAAGCATTGCAATTCGGTCGACGCTGTCCGAATGCATGAACGAAGAAAAACATATGTTAGGCAATTTCACGTTACTATATCTAATATGATATCTCTTCGATGCGTTTCTATGGTATGAAAAAATTATTCCGCAACAATTACTATACAATGAGTATAAATATTTTAAAATATTAATGCTACCATGTGTAGCATTTTTAAGAAAAATTAAACTGTTATATTAGTTTGGGGAAAAAGAAATCCATTATTTTTTCGGTAGATGTCTGCACTGATAGATTTCTCGTAAAGTATCGATCAAACAATTTCAGATTTATGCTCGTTGGAAAGTTGACATTTCGCAGTAAAAAAATTCTTTTGCTGCTTTTTGTTTGGTGCATTCAGTTGTGAGTTACAGCGTGCTAAAAATGGAAGTGGACAAAGAGAAAATTCGGTGCATTTTACAGTTTTTCTTTGACAAAGGCGAAAATGCAAGCCAGGTGGCTAAAATTGTGAATGGTGTTTATGGTTCCGATACTGTAACAGCCAATTATGTGCAATTTTGGTTTCGTAGATTCGGTTCAGGAATTTTTGATGTTAAAGATGCACCTCGCACAGGTAGGCCGGTCGTCGAAAATGTCGATAAAATCGGAGAAATGATCGAAGTTGACCGGCATGTTAGCAGTCGTAACATCGCCCAGGAGCTAAAAATCGACCATAAAACAATTTTAAACCATTTACACAAAGCTGGATTCAAAAAGAAGCTCGATGTTTGGGTGCCACACCAATTAACAGAAAAAAACATGATGGATCGAATTTCCATCTGCGAAGCCTTGGCCAAACGGAATGAGATAGACCCATTTCTTAAACGGATGGTGACTGGAGATGAGAAATGGATCACATACGATAACCCTGTGCGAAAACGATCGCGGTCAAAGAGCGGTGAAGCACCTCAAACGGCCAGGAAGGTTTTGCTATGCATTTTGTGGGACTGGAAGGGGATTATTTATTATGAGTTGCTTCCATATGGCCAAACGCTAAATTCTGATCTCTACTGTCAACAACTGGACCGTTTGAAGATAGCGATTGACCAGAAACGGCCAGAATTGGTCAACAGGAGAGGTGTCGTGTTCCACCAGGACAACGCTAGGCCACACACATCTACAGTGACTCGCCAGAAACTTCGGGAGCTTGGTTGGGAAGTTTTAATGCATCCGCCATACAGTCCGGACTTGGCACCAAGCGATTATCATCTTTTTCTTGCATTGAAAAATTTCTTTAATGATAAAAAATTGGAATCTAGGGAGAATTGTGAAAATCGCCTACTAGAGTTTTTTGCAAATAGAGACCAGGACATCTATGAGGGAGGCAGTTTGAAGTTACCTTTAAAATGGCAACAAATCATACAACAAAACAGTGCATATTTGACCCAAATCGGACAATCCGAAGCATGTTAAATAAAGTCCTGAAGTTCATATAAAAATAATGGATTTCTTTTTCCCCAAACTAATATATTACATTAATAAATAGAACAAATTCATTAAAAATTTAAATTAAATTTTAAGATATATAAATCACCCATCTATGGATATGTGTCAAGATTTATATAATAATAATAAGTATATAAATCACCGTAATATGTTATACCCAATACCGAGGGAAGAGAGGTATATTGATTTTGTGAAAACGTTTGCAACGCATAGAAGAAAGCTTAAGAGACACCATAAAACATATAATTCTGAATCGATTTAAGAATATCCATCTTGCACGCAGACTGATATTAAAAATGAGCCAAATCGCCTGAAGGACATGCCTACTGTACCACGTAAACTGAGAACACCTCTGTTTTTGAAAACGAATAAAAACTTGATGTTTTGCTCATTACTCGTAAACTGTAACATAAATGTGAAAAAATTGGAACGCATGTTAATTGAACGATGCTAGTGGCAGCTGGACAAAAAAAGAAAAAAATTGACTTTGCCTATCTTTTATTATAGTCTATCAAGGCTCAATTTGCTTTTCAAAACCTTTATAAACCGCAGAAACAACCTTTAAAAAACCCCCTAAAGTATACGAATTCTTGGTCAGTTTTAAATTTGAAACGCTTTTAAGCATATCCGTTTATCCATCTACCCGTCTGCCCAAGTGTGTAGTATCTGTGATAAGCATTAACCCGTTAGCGAAAGAAAGGATTTGGAATTGACATAAACTTTTCAAAGGACATGCCTACAACGTTCACACGCCTATGCGACAAGAACTTTTCTTTCCGCGATTATTGCGCGTAATAAGGGCAGAGATGTTTAGGTGCTTTCCAAATTTGAAACTAGATAAGAATTTATATATCCTTTGGGCTTTTGAAGGTTGTTTCACTGCTTTATAAAAGTTTTGAAAAAAAATTAAATTTTGATCCGTAATATTCGGTCGGCGTGGCCAATGTTTCCCATTTTTGTACAGGTGCCACGCCATCTCCCATAAAGTCTACGTTCACATTTTTGTGAAAACAGAGGTGCCTCTTTTCGTAGCACTGTAGACGTGTTTTCTTCAACCAAGTTACCCTATTTTCAAAACGGACAGACGGACTGATCAAGATGCTAATCAAGAATATATACACTTTGTATTGTGCATTGTAAAGGTTTTGACCAAATGCATATACCTCTCATCCCTCGTTGAGAAGTATAAAAAAAGTTCGCCTTTGGTTATAGTCGGGGACGACCCCAAGCAAATTCCATTTTGAATAATTAGAACTCTCCATTTTCTTAAAGTCACGTATCAAAAATCAAATTGTTGCAAAGCACCCGTATAGATGTCAAGTTTCTGATAACGACACACAGTCTATGAATTCGGCCAACGTTAGTATACGAACGCTGTATGCAGCTTCAATTCGCACACGATTCAAATTTCTTTTGTTAATTCGTTTGTTTATTTTGATGGTTATTAAGATTATCGTAATTTGAGGCTATTGCAAGTAAAATGTTGATGTTGGTTAGATATTTGAATAAATTGCAAGCATTATTGAAACGCTGCTAAATAACTGATGGATTATGACGGATTTTGAGAAATCAAGAACAGACAAACGCTGCAACATAACCAGAACGGAAAGCAATTTACTCACTCAGTCTTTGGACTTTCTGAATGTCTTCAAAGACACAATGACAAATGCAAGACCCAGATATTAATATGAAGATATCCAAAATGATTGGGAGTAAAAAGCCACGCCTCTAAATGATGGGCATTTGCATAACTTAAAACGAATGCAGGTAATATTTTTCTATGCGGCTTCTTTTAGTGAGCAATGAGTGTCCAAAGGTGGATAAATCTAATCAGCTATATACGCGTTCGGATATATTTATGTATAAGGGCCTCTATAACATGTAGATTTAATGAGTCGACCAAATTGCGCAGTTGGATTCCCTTTCTTATATAAAATGCTTAAAAAGGTGTTTAAAACGCTCGTAAAACCGTACAAACGTTGCGAAGGAACAGACGGCGTACTGTGTCTCACTAAAAAACTTCTTACAATTTATTATTCATTAGTAATTTTAGCTTAAATTTAATCCCTATTCGCTCTCGCATAAATCAAAATATCATCTATCTGATGCTAAATATGAAATGCATACGATTTTGTATTTTAGCTGATTTTACTTACATCTGATAATCTCATGCAAAGCATTATACGTAATGGAGAATAATTTAATATTTTTAATAGCCAGTCACTCGGTTTAATTTTGGGAGGATACAATTCCATCCACATGATAACGATATGAAGGATATAGCAAGCGGCCGCGATACGTACTACATGCTGATAAGCGTGCACTATGAGAGTATTTGGAAATGGTTAACGGTTAACGGTTAGCAAGGCATAGTCTTGTGTTTTTTTTTATAAACAACCAATACTTACGTATATCAGGAACGTAAGCTGAAGGAGCATGTTTAGTTATAAACATTAGACCTAACATTAGTATTAAAACCACTACTAAGATAAGACCACCGCGGCGATAACCTCGCAAGAGGAATGACAAAATCAAAAGAATTTGACAAGCTGTAAGAATTTTTTATAAAAAAAAACTAGTTTCGCATGTACAAGGCATTTGTATGAAGGGTCACGACGAATACTTACCTACTATAGGCATGATAAACACATTCTGATAAAAACTACTATTTCGAGTTATTTCAAATATAACGGATATATCGCCGTTACGAGATTGTATAATACCAGCATTTGTGTACCGGGCCAAGACGCTATTTTCTATACTTGTCACGGCAATTTGCTTAAAACTCCATTCAGTTAAAGCGCTTATTGGCGTTTTGCTTAGAGGACTTTGCCGATCGTATACTAATTTTAATCGCTGCAGATTTTCAGTGGAGACACCCAAAGCCAATTCGCAATTAAGTAACTCATTGGGCCAATTTTGCAACGGATTCGGGCACCAAGTATGCATTACAGCATCGTTAATTAATAACGTAACTGTACCGTTATTTTCTATAAATAATTGATAGGGCGGATTGAAGCGACGCTTGGTATTCAAAGCAGCACTGGGATAAACATTTGAAAATTAATCAAAAATTGCTATTTTTTAAATTACTTACTTAATCACGACAAATCGAGGTAACCATATTTTTAAATCCTTGCAAGCAATCCTATCCATGTCATTAAAATCCGCAGGATTCCAAACTAGACGAGGATCATTCCAATTCTAGAGAAACCCAAGGGGATGATTTATTCAAATTTGACTAGATTTCCTAAAGGAATTGCTTACCACTCTCATATTTAAGCGGGTTTTCAACAGAGCTTGATCATGTTTGTAGTGAATGGCACGTATTTGAAATGAAAAATTTATCTCTTTTAAATTTACAGGCATAGTGGCATTTTCCGCCTTCTCGACAATATTCAAGAGTAAACGTTTTTCCGGCAGCAGCCATTTCACTTCATCATCTAGTTCAGTGGCAAAGCCATCGAATTGACAATCGTAAAACCAACTGGCCGGCTCATTATCGTATGTAGTGAAACTTATGTAATTAATGGACAACGGGGCCACATCGGTGAAATTCATTAAAGGTGTTTCTCTCAAACCCGGAATGAATACTAAGAACTCAGCGTCTGGAAATGTTGTTTATTTATATTTTCATAGAAGAACTTTATGTAACGCATTTCTTCACCTTTCGTTTGAACAATTTCTATTGGTGTAGGATCAAATACTGATAAAATATTTGCTTCCATATCGGTGGCTACACGGCGACGTCCTATGCTGGTACGTATTGTAGAAAATTTATTACGACCCGCGCCAATTACTAAAACGTTGAAAAGATTACCAACCGATGAAAAGTGAAACTTAACGAATTCATTACCTATTTCGTAGACCCGATCCAATAAACGTGGATGATCGGTAACCGATAATAAAATATGAGCATCTCTGGCCGTCATTACGTAGAATTTCAGATGTAATAACTCATTGGCAGCCAGTTTATTATTATTCATGCCGCGTATATGGAAAAAATCAGTATAAACATAACCACGCGTTGCTGGTATAGCGTAATGTTTACACGTTTCCATTTGCGAAAGGCTCACGTTATATTTGAAATCGCCTTGGACCAGTGATAAGCAAGTCACTATCATCAGCCCTGAAAAATAGTTTTTGAAATTTACACACATTTCTTTCTTTTCCTTTCTTTTTTTGCTTAGGTATAAATGAGAAGCAGCGATAATATGATAAATTCCTTTCAAATATGTTTTTTCTCTTTTCCCTTTTAATTTATTCTTAAAACTGCAAACGTTCACTTCAAAATTCTCGGCCACACTGCAAGTAAATACTTTTTAATTTTACTGTATAAGGAATTTTTTATCATCTTTAATAAAACAAAAATAAAAAGTGTGGGTATGTTAATGTAAGCCTTGCCTTTGCAACTAATGGAAATGATGATGATGATAATGATGATGATGATGATGACGATGATGATGATTTGTCTCAAATTCAATTCTCGCTGAGCTCATTTTACGGTCTCTGGAGTTTGTAAAATATTTGTTAAAGTTAGAAATGTACATCAAGGATTTCAAATAGAGCGTCATAATCGGTTCACTTATGCGTAACATAAGCCACGGGGAAAACGTTCGTTGCCTGGATAGACAGTGGTTCTATTGATGGTAAAGTGCAATTAAAAATACTTGTCTTCAACAAAAACCTTAATATTACCTTTAATACGTTACAGTTGCGTCCATCGGAACTAAGCTTGTAAGTTCGCCTTTAAGACATTCATATATGTTATGTGGGAAAAAGGATGAAAAATGATACATTTTACGGTATACCAAACTTGTATCTAATGCGTAAATAAATTAAAGCTAAACTTGAGACTGAAAGGTCTTAGTGACCCCTATTAGAGCTAGAAGTAATGTGTTTTCATTACAGATATTACACTTTCTGCGGTAGAAGTGTAGTCCTTCATGATTTTATGATGTTTCTCACCAAATAATTGAAGGGATTTTGATTATACTATACTAATAAGGCCTTAAATTTCACCAGAAATTATGAAAATCGTGTAAAAAAAGTTCCGAAAATTGCTTATGAATATAAAATGGCAATTCCTGGCTTTCCTTTTCATTCCGCTCTTTC